AGGGTTCAGGGGATCTCGTAGTCGAGCAGTCTCGACTAGAGCTTTCTTACTTGTTTTATATTCGGTTTATATATTTATATTTTCGGTCTGATAAACGAGTCTTTCAAGTGACTCTTAAATGATTCTTATTTTTTTTTTTAAGTGTGCTTTCCAATGTTAGTTGTTGTTTCCCGCGCTGCTCTCTGTTTTGCTGAAGTCTCAATTACTTGCCGAATGGAAACGTAGCAATTCAATGCATGCACAGCTCAATGGGTTCAAGATGCTGTCCAATAAATAGTTAATTTTATGGAAGGCATGTGCTGGACCCATAACTGCGCCAAACGCTCCTTTCTTTCCGTATACACTAGTCGGCATAATTATTTTGACGAAAAACTTTTCCCGTACTTGTACGGCTTTATTCAGAGTTTTTTATTTATTTTTCTTTTGTTATATATATCTAATAGAAACTTAAAAACATACCACTACAGATTTTTTTCATAGAAACTTAAAAAGATATTTACTTTACTTTAGCCTTCAATAAAATTTTGGTCAGGTCGCGGACCTGAACCCACCAATTCTTACAAAATATCAGGAAATATCCCTTATCAAAGGAAAGTATACTTAGCAATTGCCTCTTCTTTGATTTTCTTTAACTAAATTTGTATTTTGCATTTCAAAGAACTCTAGAAGTAGTCTTTTATTTTTTTTATTATATTTTAATGAGAGTTTTTGAGTTTTCGTTTTGAGTGATAAACTCGCGCGATATATACGGACATTTAAAAAAAAAAGTTGAAGTCTCTAGCTTTTATATTTTCTGAGATCGACGCGTTCATACATACGGACGGACGGACGGTCAGACAGACGGACAGGGCCACCTGGACGTAACTTGAGCGAATGACCGTGGGCGCAAAAAGATTTGGCTCGATTCACCAAAAAAACCACTATGAGTTTAGCTCGACCCTATAAAGCAATGAATAAATAACACGCATACGCCGCGTTGCCAGCTGAGGATAGCCGCAGATATCTTCAAATCAATAGCAGCACAACAAATGACGCCTTCCAAACAATCTAATATTGGATTGAAATTGAAACGACTTAAGGCAAACAAGCACACACCCATGCACACTGGATCCCAATGTGATTACTGTCGGAATAAAATCGACTGATTGCCATACGCCTTTGTATTTGCCGGAATAAATTCGTATTAGTTCTACAGAGCTCCCCCTCCTCTCCTTCCCGGAGCGAGTTCTGTCTATTCGTCTATCTGTTTGCCTATCTGGCTGCCTGTTGCTCGCAAACAACAGCTCAAATCGAACCAAGCTTTACAAAATAATAATACGAGCATGCCAAAATACGCACAGCCAATCCCAATACGGAATAAATGAATCCTTTACACCAGCAAACCAAAGTCAGAAAAGCTGCCTTTTGTATATAAATCGCCGCGCGAAGAGAATCTCTGAAGGGAGTTAGGAAATGTACTGCTATACTGTAGATCGATAAAATAAAATGAATACTTCGGTTCGGTTCTTAATTCATTAAATATTTTGAGGACTTTTTTTTAACATATCAGAAACTAGAACAAACGGAGTGTGATGGTTAATGATAGAGAGATAACTAAAGACAGAGATAAAGAGAGAGAGAGAGAGAGAGAGAGAGGAAAGATATTGTATCTTAAGATAATAATATAGTAAAGAAAGACAGATAGAGAGAGACATAGCGTGAGAGATGTAAATAAGATTAAACTTAATTATTAACTAAATTAACCTACATTTCCATGTATGCATCTTAATATATATTCTAATAATATTTTATTCATTAACTTTCGTCCCATGTATACACGATGTGTTCTTGTTCTTCTGCAATTTTCTTTAACAGCCAAAATTGATTTCGTTCAGCAATTTATGTAAAAATTTACAGTGTTCTGCTGCTCGGTAAGACTATTCAGAGCGTAGTTTAAATAAATTAAAGACTGCAGTAGAAACATGAGAGGTTTGTCCATAAACCACAACACGAAGCATAATTAAGCACCATGGAAAATTCAAAATTTGTGTTTGCATAAGCAGCGTTGTTTGCCGCTTAAGCTGCTTAAATCATTTCACTACAACGACTTTAACATGTATTTAGTAACCTATCTCTGTCTAACACTATCTCTTTCTACTTTGTGTGCAGCATGGAAGCAACTGGCGCCAGTCAGAGAGCAATCCCACTCGCAGCTACAACAGCACCGACAACCAGGACAACAAATGTGGTCACAGCTAAAACAAAATGTGCAAAATAAAACACGCAACTGTGGCGACAACAACCACTCTCCTAAAAACATAAATGCCATAAACTGAATAGTCCTCGTAGCGAAAAGTGCAAAGCTAAAACATAAAAAAAAATATATATACTAAATAGAAGATAAAAAAAGAGAAACAAACCGGCGGAAACGGAAGCGGGCTGAACGAACAAAAAAACGGTACGCACTGGCCACAGCCACAAACAGGAAAAGAAGACAGTCACAGTGAGAGTCACAATCACGGTCACAGTCAAAGTCACTGTCACAGTTAGTTAAAGGGATTTCAGAGAAGCATGTATGCGGCACTAATGGACATGAGCCAGATGCTGGCTGCAAGCCTGGCCTACGCGCCAGCGGAGCCAAGCTCTGCTGCAGCTGCTGCCGGGGTCAATCTTAGCCAGCTCAGCAATTCCAGTCAACTGGATGCATCGTCCGTGGTTACGGTAGCCACAGCAGCGACAGTGGGCCAGCACAATGCCAGCGGCGAGGAGTCCTCTTATGTGAAGGTATTGGATCGTCCGGAGACCTATATTGTCACAGTACTCTACACGCTCATCTTCATCGTGGGCGTTCTGGGCAATGGCACTCTGGTCATCATATTCTTTCGCCACCGTTCCATGCGCAACATACCCAATACGTAAGTTCCCGGCGGCGTCCCCAGCTCCCTTCCCCTTGCCCAATTCCCAAGTCATTCATATGCCACATACATATGCGTACAATCACCCGATATAAATATGGCCCAAATGAGCGCTGCGTGCCGCGTGCGCTCCAGAAATAGCCCGAAAGAATAGCCACTCAACATTCATGATGCTGAATTATGGCAGCATCTCTGCTTTTATTGCCTCTTGCCTGCAAGGCCGTTCAGATCTTGTGCCCCGCTTTGGCTGCGGCCAGAACAGATGTCGTCGCAATCTTGACCAAATTAAAAGTTCGTCGAAAATCCTTCAAGTTTTTAGCCACACAGCAGGCGCTGCCTGTGGTCAAGAATACTAAGCAGGATTCTTAAAATAAACGCAGGTTACGTGGCCTACAACAGATTGCAAGTCAAAAGTGCAATAGCTTAAGCTTAGTTTAATAATGAATATCATAGTTAAGTTTCTGCAAAATATGATATGATTTTTCAAATGGATGTTTATCTATACAACAATTATTATAATAATTATTGAAATACATATTTATTATACTTTCTGTTCACACAAAGCTTTTTATATCCATATATATGTAGTTATATTTTTGTCTTCCTGGGATAACTTGGCAAATAGCTGCTTAAGTAGTTTTTTAAGGCTCTCAAATAGCTTAAGCTAACAAAATAACATCTATGCAATAATATATTTGCATAAAGTTGCCTTACCTATTTGATCTAATGAAAAGTTTTTTGTTCTCTTTAAGTATTAAAGTTCGATCAATAATGCTGCTTAAATAATTTATTATAAACCATTTAAAATTAAAACGGCTCCACATTTAGTTCAGATATGTTCGTTATAGTTCTGCATTTGTTTAAGCTCTTGGTCGGCACTCGCAGCCGTAAGTGCTTATTGGCTCAATAATGGTCCACGTGGCGTATGCGTTATGCGCAGCATGCAGATTCGTATGTGCTCATTTGTTTCCTCTTCATAATAAAATACATTGTCAAAATATGAAGTCTTATTTACATCGATATTTTCATTTACCGATAAAGGCAATTATATATTATATTATATACTATGTTATAATTTAGCATGCATATTATAATAATACGTGGCAAAGTCCAGTCTATCTTTACCCTTTTAACTTCGCTTAAATTTTAGATCAGCTATGAGTTTGTACTATTCACTACACTGCGCAATGGCTCGCTCATATTTCCAACATTCTTTTCTCTTTTCTTGCTAAGCTGTAGTTGCATTCGAGTTGTCGATTCCAGCTGTCACAATGCAATGCTAGGAGAACAGCTCCCTACATGTTTAATACCTTATATCCGCTTAAAACAACGAGGGTATCCTGGTTATATAAAAGCAAACTAGTTGAAATGTTATCACACTTTGTAAATATGAATAAACATAATTATTATAATATGTAGTTTCGTCCGCCTTAAAATCAGTGAATTAATATATGTTTTACGAGTGCGGGTTCTACGTTGCCGCTTGCTCGAAAATGTTTATTAATTTATATAACTTGTAGGAAACTCAAAAGCTGTTACAACGATGTAACGCCATGTGTTCTAACTGTGTTTGTGGCTTCGTTTCGACGAACACTTTAAATAAATTCAAATGACATTTCAATCAATTTTCTCGCCAGCCCAGCCGGTGCTGCAGCCGGTGGCACAGCCAAGAGCTGGGGAGGAACAAGCATATTATAAATTGACGTCACGCCCCGACTGGCAAAAAATGTGTCTGCTCTGCAATTTCCATTGAAGAACTATTATATCGTTACACAAATTGAGAATAGCCGTGCAAAATATAAAAGCGAAAATATGCATTGAAATATGCCAGAAATTGCATTCCTGTCCAAGCTGTTCAGGTTGTTCTGGCTGTGCAGGGTGTTCAGGCTTTCCAGGTGTTCAACGAGACTGGTGCTGAATGTAGTCATGGAGAGGGGAAGACGAACTCATGGACATGCCTGTCGCAATCGGGAGCCAATCAGTGGACCAAGCAGAGCGTTGTAGGTCCTGTTGCTGCAAAAGTTTTGGCGTGATTTACCATCCTTTGTCCGGTTCGTCTAGACAAGCATCAATTGACATCACTCAGAACTTACAATTTGTGGTCTATAATGAAGCGGCGCTTGCGTCGCTTTGCTTTTAGTCTGCCACCTAACCGAAGTTCAATCAGGTCAATGACAAAGCAATTTTCTGAAAAAGCCCTCATTTGCCTTTTAACTCAAATGAAGACATGCATTGTTTCGTTTTTTTGTTCTAGGGTACCGACGAAATTAAATTCTGTTCCAATTGGCAATAGATCAACAATATTTGAGGCTAGAGGGCTTTTTAAACGAACCCATGTCAAGGAATCTACTCGAGAATGGTAAAAAGTCGACAAAAAAGAAATATATTTGGAGCAAGGGGCAATTCACTCAAGTGTCTTACAAGTGGCTGCGCAACGGCTCACACAAATGGAACAAGCACCGTTCCTTTCCCCCGATACCGATTCCGATGCCGATTCCAATAACAAAGCGAATGCTGTTCCATGTTTCAATCCCTGTGAAGCCATGCAGTAAATTTGACACGTTTAACTGTGCGTGAGCTGAACAAGTTTCCCAATCGCCGGTTTCCTCTCACGCAAGCTTGACCGTTACTTTTTTTTTTAGCCATAGCTGGTCCGAAAAATATTTGCATAGTAAATACCCAATGATCTTGGCAAGTAAAAAAGGATGTAAACATGATCGAATGTATCATCGTACACGTTATAGTGAACAATTGCATCTTGATTTGTGGAACAAAGATAAATAAAAAGAAAAATATTCATTAGACATATTTCGGTCATTATTAGATCACCTTTTCCAAAATCAAGTTGGGTTTTTGTAAGATAGCATATCATCTAACTATATAAACTTATATGTATATGTGAACAACTATTCGTAAATGTCTTGTAAGTTGATCAAACCTTGTTTCAGTTTATAGGTAAACTTAAGCGGCAATATCTCCTTACAGCTACATCCTCTCGCTGGCATTGGCCGACTTACTGGTCATCCTGGTCTGTGTCCCTGTGGCCACAATAGTCTACACGCAGGAGAGCTGGCCCTTCGAGCGGAACATGTGCCGCATTAGCGAGTTCTTCAAGGACATTTCGATTGGAGTCTCCGTCTTCACGCTAACCGCGCTCTCTGGCGAGCGCTACTGCGCCATTGTCAATCCGCTGCGCAAGTTGCAGGTGAGCAGAGTATACCGTTAGATATTTGGTGGGCAAAAGTGTCTGAGTGGTTCCTTATTTCGCAGACAAAGCCGCTGACTGTCTTCACGGCCGTCATTATCTGGGTGTTTGCCATTATGCTGGGCATGCCCTCGTTCGTTGTCTCGGACATCCAGAGCTACAACATAACCACGCCCAACGGCAACATAACCATCGGAGTCTGCTCCCCATTTCGATCCAAGATCTATGCAAAGTGAGTTTCGCCACTAACCCAACACCAATCAGTTAAATATATGTATATATACACTATATATGTATATATATATATATATACATATATAAATATTTATATTCGTATTTGTTCGCTTCATTTGATTTTATTTAGTTTGAAGTGGGTGTCCAAGCAAAGCTCTGTCTCTTTGATTCTATCATGCTATGAGCTGAAAAGGGCAAGTCCAGTCAAGTAGAAGTCACTCAAGTGGCTGACAGCTCCTGCCTTTTTGTTAACACTTGGAAAATTTTCAATCGAATCAAGCCAAACAGCAACAAAAAAAAACTCAACCAAACATTAAATTTAATCTGCAATCATAATTCAGACAAATTCTTTATCTGTTGAGTACTTAACGGTGTTCGAATAGCCATTGATTTTTTATTTAAAAATTCAAATTCAATTTAGCTGCATTAAAAATCAAATTACATATATTTATATAAGAATTAATCGAATGGACACTTTAAATCATCAAGGATATCCCTAACAACACCGCTTTCTATGCCCTATAGGATACCCCGGACTCATTCTGCTTTCATAGGCTGCTCTTCACTCGCCTCGCTAATACACTTCTCCGATTTAATTCCGCTCGTCATTTTTAATATTTTTCCAACAGCTGCCCGGCCACAGTCTGGGCAGTACTTCAGCGTTGCGGCCCTGGCTGCTCGCCTGTTGCCACAACTTGGAAATCCTTTCATGCTGGACAACAGCAGCTCTTGCCACATAATCTCTTAACAACTCTCTCCAGGAGAAATTAAATTTTTGTTGGTTGTGCTTCCTTTTTACTGTCTCATAAATTGGCTAAGATGTCTAGGACACGCAGCTACATAGCCATAAGCGCTTTTTGAATCGCTTCTAATTTATTTGGCAATCACCTATCAGTCACAAATTCACATCTACCAATTCCAACTTGTCTACAACATTGCGAAGCTCAGCAGACAGCTGTGCTTTCTGCCTTTCATAGCTGCTTAACTTTCGCAATTTAATTTCATTTAATTTTAAACACATAAAACAAGTAAGAACGTTGCAGTCGGGCGCTACCGACTGCGAAATACTCATTCACAGTCC